TGCCGACGCAGGGACTCTGGGAGATTTGTTGATCGGGGATCAGAGGGGCGAGAGCCGCTCCCTCGGCGTGCAGATTGCAAGAGCAATGTCGTACCTGCACACGCGATCTCCCCCCATCGTGCACCTTGACCTCAAGCCATCGAACGTGCTGCTGTCGGCGCGCTCTGAGGGGCTTGTCGCTAAGCTGTGTGACTTTGGGCAGGCGAGGCGACTAGCCGTTGGGGCGCAGCTCTCGCACTCAGGCACGCCGGGTTGGCGGGCGCCCGAGCAGGTGCGGGTGGCCCGCGACTTTGCAGTCGTGCCGCTTTCGCGTGGCACCGACGCCTGGTCGCTAGGGTGTGTCCTGGCTGCGCTCGAGGCGCCGTCGGGCGTCTGCGACCCGTACCACTTCGCCACGGGCGACGCGCCAGGCAAGTGCGACTCGCGCCTCCGACACGAGCTCGACGCAATCGTCGCGAACGGCTTCACCCGCCCGTGTGTGCCCGATGAAAGCCGGCTTGCAGGTGTGGTCAGCGCGTGTACGCACGCCCTGCCTAGCGAGCGAGCGACGTGCGCGTGGGTGCGCGCCGAGCTCGAGCAGCTTCTGCTGCAGCCGTGAGCGCAGAGAGTGACGCGCGAGTGACGGGCGAGGCCGATTGTCGATCTCTTTTCTGGTTGGTGCCATGTTTTGAGGGTGTATGAAATCTGTAATTGTCAAATGACACCCGGCTAGGCCGACACAGCCCCCCTCCCCCACTCGCCGCGCTAACAGTCTCGCACAAAATAAACAGCCGCGAGCCGGGTCGGGTCGTGTGGGCACAGCCTCAGCAGACACAGCCTGCGCGACGAGCCGGCCCGCCTAGGCAAAGGGCGAAAAGCAGAGGATCGCCGCATTCACGCCGTTGCGGCGCGACGGCGTCAGTCCCTCCGGCGTGACGGGCGGCGCGGTAACACGCGCCCGTTTCTTGCCGCCGGCGTTGACCGGAGCGGTCGAGGACGACGCAGCGGCAACTACGCCGTTGACGGGAGCCGGGCTCGGCTTCGGCATGCGCGAGAAGAATTTGTGAAGTTCCCATGCTC